GTGGAACTGCCCACAGGGTCTCCAAGGCTGTCAGTCTTCACAGAAGCAACTGCCTCATCTTTCTCCCTCAGGGCAGCTGGTGAGGCCTTCATATTACGCCTTAATAGACGGAGCCAAAGATCTCTAAGAAGCTGACCCTTCCCACGGGTGGAGCTCACACTCATTCACACATACCTTCACGCACCACAGTGAGTTTGCTCTGGGCTCTGAACCATTCACGGTCTGTCCCACCTCTGCGCCTTGGCCCCAGCAACTCCCACCGCCCTAAGCGGTTGGCCAGTGGTCACCACGTTGGCTCTAACTCACAGCATCCCCATGTCAGAGTAAGGCTGTGCTCAACGGGGTTTGAACTGGCTGATCGTTCAGAAACAGACGGCCAGGCCTTTCTTCCGACTGCCTCTGAGTGGACTTGGACTTCCAGTGAACTGCTGACACTACCTAGCATGGCTAACTGCAGCCCATCCCACAGGCTCGACCTCACCTCCTCTGGCCAGCGCACTCTCACCACCAGGTGGCGTCAGGGTCCCTCCGCCCCCAGCTCCCTGTGCACACAGCGATTCCAAAGCCTCTTTGCTGGGGCAGCTGTGGAGTACCCCCCACCATGCCTCACCAAGGGGCACCGAGGGGCCGAGTCCTCACGGCCACAGCCTCGCATCCGGCATTGAACCTGGCACACGGGAAGAGTTCAGTAAATACTTGTGGAATGGATGAATGGTCATAAATGTGTTAGCTTAGGTGAGACGGAGCTAGGCAGAGAATTAGGTACAAGAAATGATGTTGAAACTGGGCACAGAACAAGCTTGTCGACACCCCACCTCCAGCCACTTAACTGGGTGGAAAAAGCAGGCTTCCATTAAGCCTTCGAGAAGCTGGGCAGCCGTGGGTCACCAAGAATGCAATTACTGTGGATGCGGTCACACGGAGGGCGAGGACACCACAGGACAGATTCTGTGCTGCAGTTATGCACCGATCGGGACAGACAGCCTTTGAACATCCCCAAGCTCACCCGTGGGCTGGCGTGTGCCATGGACCAGCCACGAGCTGCAGAGATCCAAGTACAGAGCATCTAGACAGGAAAAGAGCCATCGGCTCGGGAAAACTGGGTCCTTAGGTCCTTTGAATAACAAAAGTGGCTTAAGTATGAATCTAAACCCAGCTGCGGCGCCGGAGCCCTGGGCTAACCCGCTCGGCCCAGAAGGGCTGCACTTCCTCCTCCCAGGTCCCCGGGGTGATAGAGGGGGGCAGAAGCACAGCACGGTGGAGGGCCTGGGGCAGCAGAGCGGGAAGAGAGGTTCCCAGGTGCGAAGCCAGTGCCAGGTTTTCCATATAAAGCGGAAAGCAGGCCACAGAGGACGACCACGGCTGGTCCTAAAGGGCTTCTGATCCTGAGGCAGCCATTGGCCCTCCCGCAGAAGGCAGCCAAGTGGGTCAGCTTACTTGGCCGACCTCTCCGGATGCAGTAAGCAGAAACCTCAGGGGTAAGGCAGGGCGTCAGTCTCGGGGTCCTGGTTGCTCTTTTCCTTCTTCTAATCCACCCGACATGGTCTCAAGACGTTGTACCCAGAACATGGATTCACTGGGCCACTGGCTCCCACAAGATGCCTCCATCCCCCACGGCCTCCCCGCCCCTCCAGGGCTGTCTGCCACTGGCCCAGTCCACCTGTCCAGTGCCTCTCCCACGCCTCTGGCGGAGCCCGGACTGTGCGCCACCTCCCCAGCCCTCCGTGCCTTGTCCCAGCTCAGGGCCGCCCCGCACCTTCTCACCCCCAGGCCTTTGCTTGCACTCCCGCGAGCACCGTATCCCACACCTGCTGCCAGGTGAACCAGCATGCAGCCCCCTCCAAGCCCTCTGCCAATGCCCTCTTCCCTGCACCTGTCCAGACGAACCTTCCCCTCCTCCAAGCTCCGTGAGCCCAGGGTCAGGACTGGACAGACGGGTGGTGCAGGGCGTGGCAGCTCTGAGGCTGATCACAGAACGGCTAGCATCCCGGGCACCCTATCCTTTAAGTCCTGTAGTCTCTTCACATAGCGGGGTGACCACAGACCCCATTCATGAGGGCACTGTGAGTGGTCCAATAACATGGCTGTGACACTGTGTCCCCCAAACAGATATGCATCCCCTATCCCCGTGGGTGGGATCCCCTTTGGGGACAGGACTCGCTATGGGTATTACTGAGGCCATAGCCGTGGACGGGGTATCTGAACCTGGCTGC